ATTATTATTATTAATTGCGCTGCTAATTATTTTTGCTACTACAAATACCTTTCTACGCAATTCTCAAAGAATGAGCTTACAGTTTGTACCAAAGATAAATGTACTAAAATTAGCATAACAAACCAAGTTTTATTGCTCAATTTACAGCCATGATAAATTAAATTAAGTAAATTAATAATGTACTTAATCATATCTATTAGACAAAATCCTGTTTGCGCTGCTGTAGCTTATCCCTTATGAAGTCTCAACAAATGCACCTGTATTTATAATTAATGTCTGTCTTGACTGACCTTAGCAGCACTCGCTTAATTAATAATTCTGGTGACCTAGAGTAACACTCGCATATTTTGATATATCTCACACGTAAGGAACAGTCGACAGGCAATAATTTTTAGTGCTGGCAAAGCCTGCAAGTGATTTGTCTGCTGGGCGCACATGGCGTATGATTGTTGTTGTACGCAAGTTTAATGCGTTGACAAAGTGCGCAGCGCCATAGACATAAATTTCCCATCCATATAAATATATATATCGTATATACATATATGTATTTAAATTTTGACTAGTCAGCAGCTGCTGCAGCTGAGTGCGGCCCAGTCAAGTGTTTAATATGCCCAGAATGTGGCCGGCAGCCAAGAATGTGATTTATCTTGGGCCAGTTAACTTTGTAATGCTATCAAAAATGATTATTAACATTGTTCATGCTGGCTGTGTGAAATATTTACATTGCATTTGCTGCTTGTTAGTTCTTGTGTAGATCGATTATTGCATTTCTGAATGGGGCTGAGTAAATGCAAATTGATATTTATGCTCTAGCTATTCATAGCTCTGGCTGCTTGCATGTGTGCTTTATACTTATTTATATAGAAATGCTTAAGCCAGGGGTTGCGACCCCATTCACAGCTGCGCTTTTAATAGACTTTTCATCAGCTGCGTTAATTTCTCCCCATAAAGCTAAATAAATATTGGTCTGATTAAAATCAAGTGCATTAGCTTAAACGAACGCAAGAGTTGATGAAGCGTACGCTTCGTATGCGTAATATTTATTTCAGCTATCTGAACTGTATATGAAAATTCTTAAATTTTCTGTAAACAATATGAAATATCAAGGCTTTAATCATTTTTTTCCTACTATTTTTCCTTTATTGTAAACAAAAATACGTAAAATCATTTTCATGTTTTCATATTTAAGTTTTTCTCTTTTGGGTATTGGCAAGGCAGAAACAAAGAAAACATAAAAATAAGCTTTTGTTTTTGTTTTTTACGTTCAGCTCAGAGACAGCGTAAAAAAATATGTGGAGTGAATGCAGCGAATTGAGCATAGCTGAATTTTAATTAAATTTGTTTTTTGTGTGTTGAAAATGAAAATATTTGTTATTTGTTTTATTAGAAAAAAGTGGAAAAATAACAAAGGTCAAGCGTTTAAGTTAAGTAATTATTATGGAACTCACTTATTTATGAAGTCAAATAAAAAATGATGAAATGTTATATATGTATGTATATATATGTATGTATGTATATACATTTCGTCTGTCATTTCACACTGTCTCCCTCGCACTCTCTCACTGCCGTTCAATTTTCTTTTGCAGATTCGAATTTTGTGCTTGGCAATGCGCAGGCAAATGGCAATCCAATTGTTTATTGCTCGGATGGGTTCGTGGACTTGACAGGATATTCACGCGCGCAAATTATGCAAAAGGGTAAGACAATTGAGCTAAGAGCGACGCCGACCGAACTTGACTGACTGTCGAATTGACGGATAGCAACAAGCTGCTTCAACACTTCAATACTCAGTTGAATGTATTTGTACATTTTATTCAATTGTTTGCCAACGACGATGACGACGACGACGACGACGACAACAACAATCATGCGAAAATGAATGAACAACAACACAAAAACAGGCTGTTCATGTCATTTCCTTTACGGGCCGGATACAAAGGAGGAGCACAAGCAGCAAATTGAGAAAAGTCTTTCAAATAAGACGGAACTAAAGTTGGAAGTTATTTTCTACAAAAAGGAAGGTAAGACACTGGCAACAACAGCAACAACAACAATAACAAAAGAAGCTAAACACTTGCCCAGCAAATTGTGAGAAATTGTTGCTGTAAATTGTTTTCATTTTTAATTAAAAGCATTTCTTTTTCTGTTGTTGTTGTTGTTGTTGTTGTGATGCTGCTGTTGTTTCAAGTTCATTTAGCATTTGAGGTAATTTGTGAGCAACAAAGAGGAAATTACATGCTCCAGCTGTTTGCGGCAGCTAAAACGCAAAAGATGCCAAGTTGCTGCTGCTCCTGCTCCTGCTGCTGCTCCTGCTGCAACAGCTGACAACAGGCTGCGGTCAGGTTTAGATAAATTAGTTAAAGTTTCTTTTGAAATTGAGAGAGGGCACAATGTGATTGAAAGGAGATTTAATCCAGTTATGAGAGCAAATTGGAGATATCCTATTGAAAATTATAATTTATTCATGCTTAAGCTGGAAATATTTCAATGAGCTTTAAGAGACTTTCAGTTGAGATTTCTTTAGTTCAGTGTATTCAGTTATAAGTGTAAGTTTGCTTAAGGAATACAGCCTTTGAAAGATTTTTTTAGGTGTTTTTTTTCTTCCCCCATAGGATAATAAGGAATATTGGCCAGATCTATTTAATTAGTATATATAAAGAATATAAAAATTTTTTTATGGCTCTGTTGTAGCCCTAGAAACTGCATTTCTAGATAATCAAAGTTGAAAACAGATTCTAACTATATGAAAGCTTTACAGCTGCGGCAGTTGTGGCCTTCATAGAGTGGATGAAGCTATAGCTAACAGAATTTTAAAGCATAGTTGGCGAAGTTTTAATGGTCGCGCACTATTGACTGCAAGCTGCAGAGAGAGAGAGAGAGCGAGAGGAAGACAGAGAGTGAGAGAGATAAAGAGAGAGAGCCGTCTGAACTAATTCTAAGTTTTAATTGGGGCATAGCGCAGCGGAAAGCATTAAGTTCAAACATAGATATTTGTCGACTGTGTATAACTAGACTTTTTGTTTAGATTTTACATAAAGCTGGAATTCCTATTTTGTATTACCTATAAGCATTTGCATTAAAACACAGTTTTCCACAATTATTAGACAACACTTTTCTTCAATGAAATTTATGCAAGCTTAAGCTTTCAGGAGTCTATTAAGCTCTCACAATTTCACGCCTGCCACAATAAAAGTAGCCCAAGGCCTAGTTTGATCTGTTGAGGCGCTGGGAAATTGTTTCCTAATCCACTGTGACATATTCCTGGCTCATGAAAGTCTCACTTTCAGCAAGTGTCATCTAAGCATGAGCTGTGTGTGTGTGTGTGTGTGAGTCAGGCAACCGCAGCCAACTTAAAAGCTGTGGCCTGCCACATGAGAGGAAATTGTGCAAAGTTTTGAAAAACAGCTGCCAAAGGATTATCACAATTGCTGGCCAAACAACAGCAGCCACAAAAACAATATTAACAACAACAACAACAACAGCAGCAACACAATTGTGTAATAAGTGAAAAGCTGTAAGTCAATTGTGGCACACGTCCACGTGCGCCGATTGCACAAAAAGTTTTTGTTTGCTGGTAAACCAGCAACAGTCAGCAGGAGTTGGGTGGAGGGAGGAGGGAGGGAGGAGGAGGCGGTGGTGCTACTGTCTCAAGTGTTTGCCTCTGGCGTTCAGCTATAGCCGCTTTTAACCATCTTCGTATTGACTTTTAATTTAAGATACAGCCTGCTGCGGTTGCTGCTGCTGCTGCTGCTACTGCTCCTGCTCCTCCTGCTCCTCCTGCTCCTGTTGCCGCATCAATTTTCCGGTGCGTGGCTCGCATGAGCTTGACTTTATTGAGTTAGAGGAGCTTTGCCTTGAACTAGTTTCCATTGGCAGCAGCAGCAGCAGCAGTAACCGCCTGTGGTTTCTCGCTGTCTCCCAGGAGCAGAGGTTATACATACACACACCCACACACACACACACACACCCATACCACACTCAGCCACTTGTTGTGTGTGCGCACAAAACAATAAATTTGTTCGCAGCATTTTTGCACGTTCTCATCGCGTGTTTCACATTATTTTATTTCAATTTGTTTTTTGTTGTGCTTTAATGAAGTCACGATTAATCAGCCAAGTGGCCAAAGGCTAAGGCGGGCTATTAAATATTATCCACGCGCCATTCTAACAAGTTTTCCAATTTGCACTTCGTTTAAACAACTTTTATTAGATAAATAGCCCCCTCTATTATTATTAATTATTAATATTATAAATTATGCAGCAATTTGTAATTAAAACTCTTGGCGGCCATTAATAATTGTGGTTTAATCAAATTGATATGCAATCATTTTCTGCATACCATTAAATGTTAATTAACATTCGCTTTGTCGAGTCAAAGTTTTAAACTGTTTTGCTAACAGAAAAAAAAAAAACAATCAAAAATATGCAGCAAAACCTCAAATTGTTCAACCACAAATGAAATTTTATATGGTCCAATGAAATTGTTAAAAGTTATTTGAATGAAAATAATAAAGTCGATATGTATGTCTGTTTATTTGTTGGTTGTCCGCTTTGAGGCAATAGAAAAAGTAAATAAATAAATATATTTAATTGTCTTTTTGCAATATGAACCATTTATAAAGAGTATATTAGTTTTACTGTTCTTGTTGTGAGGTCAACCGAGTGTGGGAATATAATATATATGTATATGTATGTATATGAGGCAATAGAAAAAAGTATATTTTATTGTCTTTCTGTTTATAAAGAGTTGGGATAAATAATATATTTGTGGATATTCTCAAAAAATGTGAATATTCATTTTTAAACGTAATATTTTTAAATATATATTTTTTTTATAT